TCCTTAGGGACTGGGTTCTAGAGTTTTAACCCAGAGACAAGGCACTTGATGCCGAATGTTCTCGTCGATTTTCATACAATGTGCGCATCATGTTTTTTAAGTTAAAGCCTCATTTAATAATCAAGGCTGTTTTCACAGCCAGAAATAGGGGCATTTAAGTTGCGGACACCTCGAGGAGTGGCTTCCCCCGCCCCAGAGCGTCCCGACCTGAGCCTGACCCTACCAGTGAAGTATCCAAGTAGATACCACTTTGAAACATCCTGGATTCTCGGGGGAAAAAAAGCGGGGGGGTGGGGGTGTGTGTTTTATTATAGATCACCACCTAGCCCTGTGAGAAGTTAGTCTGGAAACGCTGCCCAAATTTAAGGCAGGTGAAGACGTGCCTCATCTCATTGATGATAGAGCCCCAGCTGACCCAATACAGCTTGGCCTGGCCCAGTTGAACCGGATCTCGCAGTGGACCATACAGCCGGACCGCGCTAGAAAACCTCTGCCCGGCCCCGCCGCCCCGAGGGTAGGACAGAGGGCCGGGCCCCCACCCTGAACCCAAACCTCGAGGCCACCAGCCTCAGGCACAGACGCCCGATCCGCCTCCGCCCACCCGCCGGCCATTAAGCCGCGCATCCCAGCGCACGAAGGGCGGCCAACAGCCTCACTGGCGACGTCCGAAGACCCAATGGAACCCGAGGCTCCAGCCCCGCCCCTCGTCAGCGCCGGGTGGGCGGAGTGGGCAGCTCCGGCTACCTTCCCTGGGCAGTTTAGAATTTGATGTGGGGAGCTGCTTAAGGTCTGGTTCCAAAGATTCGCTTTTAAATCAGATCATTTCCTGGGTAAAACAGCATACCTTCCTTATTCATTACAGTATAGTGAGGGTTTCCTCAAACATTTTTCCAGCTTTAAGTATAATTGACAAACTGTCTTAAAAGTGTACATGATGATTTGATAAACATACATTGTGGAATAATTACGAGTTCCATTAAACTCTTTTTAAAACGTTGTTTTAATGACTGCATAATAAACCAGTGCATGGATATATTCAGTTGTATCCTTTTGGGCAAGTAGGTTGTTTCCTAATTTTCACTAACATAATTACCTGAAAGTTGTTCATTCCACTTCCTCAGGATGACTACAGGGCGTTACATAGAGATAAATATCTATTCCCCTGAGACTGCATTTCCCATGCAAACTTCTGCTGCTTCACAGGTTGTGTTTAACTTTGGGTCAGTTTGTCCTATTCATTATCATTGCTTTGTCCTATTCATTATCATTGCTTTTTATAGTGATGGCTCTGCCATGCGTACATGTATGTGAGTTGTCCATTTGTATTTTGTTTTGTATTAAGCTGTTGGTGTTTCTTCATTTTCTAAAGCTTCTTTGAATAGCCTGCTGTAATTTCTACCTTGGAACCTGATCAGGTAGCGTTTCTAAAGGGAACTGAAGATAAAGCTTATAATAATCACATCCAGTTTCTTCACTTTAATCATTAAAGCTATTATGACCCTGAATAAAGAAGTCCTTTCAGCACTGAACACTAACCAACTTGGGTAGAACACAGAATTTTGGCTGCTTTTCCCACATATCCTGCTTCTATGTCTACTTGGACTTTTAACAATTCTAAATATTTAATGTGCTCTTTTAAACACTTAGACTCTTTGTTAGTGACAAAGTAAGATTGCAATGGTGTTACATTTTATATGAACTTGTCCTATAAAAAGTGGTGCATCACCTATTTTGACATCTTGTGTTAAAGCAAAGTTGATTTCAAAATGTGTGTGGCCACATTAAATTTATCCAAATGTGGTGCTCATGATAAGAGGATATATGTATTTTTAAAACATACATGGCTTAATGGAATCTGAACTCTTCCCACAAATAAGGTGCTATTTGTTTGTATGTTTCCTATCTCCTATCATTAGCATGTACACTTTTCTTGGAAACATTTTATTTGGGCATATATCTTGAAGACTGAAAACTATTTTTTTAAACTATTGAGAGTTTTAATAAACAGAACATCATGCTGAAGACACTGTATGTGTAAAAATCCCTTGTTTAAAGTTGTTTCCATCCATCAGTGAGCATGTGAAGTTGGAATCCCCATGCACTGCTGGTGGGAATGGAAAATGGTGTGGTTGTCATGGAAAACAGGTTGGGGGTTCCTCAAAAAATTAAAAGAGAATTACCATATGATCTAGCAATTCTAGTTCTAGATACATTCCCCAAAGAAATGAAAGCACAGACTCAGATTCTTGTACACCAGTATTCATAGCAGTCACTGGCAGACCAATACCAGGAGAGCACATAGGTGAGAGATAGCAGCAATGTGGCCAGGCAGCAGGGCTGGATTGCTGGACTTTAATGGGAAGCCCCGCCATGTCCCCCCAGCACCTTAGAAACCACACTTTTCAGTATTCACTTTTGGATTCACGCAAACCAGACATGGAACTTCTAGGATGCTATTGATACTTAATCATACCCTCTCTGGTTCCCATTTGATGTCTACCTGATCCAACAAGAGACAGCTCTGTTCTGTAGCGGCAGAGGCGTGTGGCCAGCACAGAGCTGAGTTATGGAAGTTCAATCCTGGCTGTCTTGCTCTCCCTGTGTGATCCTGGATAGGTTGGCCAACCTCCCTCTGCCTCAGTCTCCTCATTCATATAATGGGGGTAATAATACTACCCCCTCAGAGTTTTGTGAGCAGTGACTAACATCAGTAATGGGGGAATGGTGTAGTAGCAGCCCACCTTCTGTAACCATGAAGCATGCTCTGTTGTTATTATCCTGAGATTTGAGACCAGTTTGGGTGAAGTTGCTGGGAGGAGATCTGTTTGCAGGAGGAAGTCAGGGCCCCTGGTGATGGAGGAAAGGAGACTCCCAGGCTGGAGAGAGACTAAACTCTCAGGACTTGCACCTGGGCCTGAGACCAACCTCCAGAAACTGGGATGACTTCTGGAAAACCTCTTGAGAAGGAGAACAACTGTGGGATCCACTTCCTAGTGCACCTGGAGGAAGGAAGAACCCACAAGTGTGTGAGGAGGGCAGGGAACTGGCAGAGTCATCATGTTTTTTTAGCTGCAGTAGAAAGCAGAGATTGTGCGTTACCTACAAATCAGAAGCTAGAAAGTAGGGTGGAACAGATGGTGGAAATACTTATCTTGTTTGGGCTTCACTGTGAACAGAGGCTGGCCCATTTCCCCAAGGTCACGGGCTTCTGCACTGACTGCAGCCAGGGAGGGCAGGTGGGCACAGTGCCAGGTGGCAGGAAGGCCGTGTGACATGTGCCCTGTATGGAGGAAGCGTCGGGCCATGGCAATCTGAGCTGTCTTCTGCCACAGGACCTCCAGGCTCCCTGGTACTGGGCTCCTTCCACTAGTGACACTGCGATCGTCAGGGCGAGGCCTCCCACTCTGTGATGGACTTGAGCGCTTATAGTCCTAAACATGGAAGCTGAAGGATGATAAATAGTTATTTTCAATGGCTCCCATTCCTCCTGCCCTGACAACATGGAAAAGAGGCTGCTACCTAAGCTGCCCTTGCCTGGACCCTGGCATCCGGGCCCGCTACCCGGGTCCACACTACATCCCAGCCACTTCAGGCAGATGTTTTCCAGACTGGTACAGAGACAGTAAGAGAGGGCTTGTTCTAGACGAGGACCATGCAGAGGATCTGCCTCGTTTCTGGACGTTGTCTACACTGTGCAAACTGAACCAGAAGACACCGGATGAGAGGTCGGCCCAGGATATGCTGGGCCTCTGGGACAAATGAAGACAAAGGGAGGTTCGGAGCGGCGACGTGAAGCCTCCGGAATGGGGCGGGTGGGCGGGGGGCAGCCCAGGTCCCGGGATCGCCTGCGGACAGCCGAATGCGCGCACACGCCCGGGAGCGATGGCCCAAGTGCGAGGCTCGCGGGCTCTCAAAGCACAGGAGGCTCCGGCTCAACTCATGGCCGTCCGCGCGCCGGCTGCCCGCGCGCCCACAGCGACCCCAACCCCGACTCCGCCGGGCGCTGCCCAACTAGACCTACAGATTCCTGCGGCACGTGGCGGCGCCCCGCCCCATCCAGGTACCACGCCCATCCTGGCTCCTCCCCTCCGCCCCGCCCTCTCCCGACGCCACGCCCCCTCCTGGTTCCTCCCCACCGGCTCTCCCCCTTTGACCCCACCCACCAGACGCTCCGTCCCATGCGGTGTCCCGCCCTCCTGCCGTCCCGCCCACCCGGCTGGGCCCCGCCCCCCACGGGTCACGTGACTCTCCTGGCCCTTCCCCCTCGCCCTGCTTCCGGCATAGTGTTCTGCGCAGGCGCAGACTCTACTTCGCGGCGGGTGACGCAATCCCGCGCAGCCGGCGGGGCGCGCGGCGGCACCGTGCGTCGGATCACGTAACTTCTTCGAACGGCTTCCACCGTCTCCAGTGCGTGCGCAGGCCCTCCCCTCTACCAGCTGGGGGCGGGGCCTGGCCTGACGCGGCCAATCGGCGTCACCCTCTCCGGCTCTGCGCCCCGCCCCCCGTCCGTCGGGCCGCCTGTCTGTCCGTCTATTAGTGTCCGGGCCTAGTCCTCGGAAGCACGTCTGAGGCGGCGGGTACGCGGCCAGCGGGGCGCGGGCGGCAGGCCTGGCCCCCGCCTCGCGCTCAGTGGCCACCCGCGGGCTGGGAAGCCGCCGAGGAGTCGGGGTCGGTTCAGCGGGCGGCGGGCTAGGGGAGAGGCGGCCACGGCCCCTGCGTCCGGCGGGCGCTGAGGGGCTGGACCGGGACCGGCAAGGCCGGCCTAGGGACCCGATCGCACCGGGGGGACGGAGGCCGGGTCTGGGCGGACGGACCCGACTGGAAGGCGGTGTGCTGGGGGGAGGCCCAAGTCTGGCCCGGCCGCTCTGTGATCGTTCCCCCCGCGAAGCCTACCCCGGGGTCGCCGGCCGGCGTGGCTGCCACCCCCACGGCGCCCTGTCCAGCCTCAGCCCAGGAGCCTCTGTGGCCGGAAGGGCTGAGGGCCCTGCTTCAGGTAGCACAGCTGGACCCCAGCGCTGTGTCCCCGATCGCTCCAGTGCAGTAGGACGGGCATCCGGGGGTGGAGATGCCGTGGATCGTCCGCTACTTTCTTGGAAGTTTTCTTCGTAGAAAGATATTTTCTTCAATCGGTTGTTTTCAAAGTCAGACAGGATTTGCTCTCCTAACCGTCGTGGCCATGTATTTTATCTGGTTTCCAGATCAAAGTGTTTGTGTTTTGGTCGCTAAGTCGTGTGTCCGACTCTTTTGCAACCCCGGGGACTCTAGCCGGCCAGGTTCCCGTCCATGGGATTTCCCAGGCGAGAATACTGGAGTGAGTTGCCATTTCCTCCTCCTGATGAAAGCAGCACACCTTGTTTATTGTTGCTTTAAATTCTGTTTAGGGGGTCTGGGTCTGCAGGCAAATAACAATCACCTCGAGAAGCAAATCGTTGCTTTAACATATTTCATTAATAATAACTTTAGGGCAGCCTTAGTCTTTTTTCATACAAATGTCTCTGGAGGTACATTGGGACTTCAGAAAAAATGCTGAGACCTGATGTGTGACATGAAAGTGTACGGGAGGAAAGTTAGGTTTTTTAGGTCTTTAATCAGTTTATATCCTCTAAAGAACTGATGCGTAATCCTCACAATTCTAATTTCTTCTGCTTTGGAGGGTGCTCATGCATTAATAATTCTTGGTTTGTGTTCAAAGGTGTTTCTGGGAAGAAGCAACATGGAGAGTGGTGCGGTCCTGCTGGAATCCAAGTCCTCCCCAATCAACCTCCTGCATGAGATGCATCAGCTCCGCCTGTTGGGTCACCTGTGTGACGTGACCGTCAGCGTGGAATACCAGGGCGTCCGGGAGGAATTCATGGCCCACAAGGCAGTACTGGCAGCCACCAGCAAGTTTTTTAAGGAAGTGTTCCTTAACGAGAAGACTGTGGATGGTGCCAGGACTAATGTCTACTTAGATGAAGTGCAGGTAGCCGACTTCGCTTCGTTTCTTGAGTTTGTCTACACAGCCAAGGTACAGGTTGAGGAAGATCGGGTACAGCGGATGCTGGAAATGGCGGAAAAGCTGAAGTGTTTGGACTTATCCGAAACTTGTTTTCAGCTGAAGAAGCAGATGTTAGAGTCGGTACTTTTGGAATTGCAGAATTTCTCAGAGTCTCAGGAGGCAGAAGGGAGTAGCGGCTCCCAGGTTACCGCTGCTCTAGCCCCAGAGGCCTGGGCAGGGGTGGCCCCTGATGGCCCTCTGGCCAACGGGGTTGCCGGTTCTTTGGATCCCCCAGCAGAGAGAATCAGCAATGGCCTGTTGCCAGATTTGCCCCCGAGGAAGTCCAGGGAGAAGCCAGACAAGAGGAAAGAGGTGGCTAAGCCCCCCTACCCCAAGCTCAGAAGGGCCAGTGGGCGGCTGGCTGGGAGGAAGGTGTTCGTGGAAATCCCTAAAAAGAAGTACACTCGTCGACTCCGGGAGCAGCAGAAGGGTGCTGAGCAGGACATGGTGGACTGCGGGGGGCCCCAGGAGCCCAGCCCAGAAGCCCTGGAAACCGAGAAAGAAGCAGTCACGAAGGACGAGGAGGACAGCGGCGCCGGGGCAGGAGCGGAGGCTGTGCTGCCCAAAGTGGGGCGAGGGGAGGAGGGGGACGAGGAGGAGGAGGAGGGGGAGGAGGGCCCGGGTCGGCGGAGGAGCAACTTCCAGTGCACGCGCTGCGAGAAGGCCTTCCTGTATGAGAAGAGCTTCCTGAAGCACGTGCGGCTCCACCACGGCGTGGCCACCGAGGTGGTGCACCGCTGCGACACCTGCGGCCAGACCTTCGCCAACCGCTGCAACCTGAAGGGCCACCAGCGGCACGTGCACAGCAGCGAGCGCCACTTCCCGTGCGAGCTGTGCGGCAAGAAGTTCAAGAGGAAGAAGGACGTGAAGCGGCACGTGGTGCAGGTGCACGAGGGGGGCGGCGAGCGGCACCAGTGCCAGCAGTGCGGCAAGGGCCTGAGCTCCAAGACGGCGCTGCGGCTGCACGAGCGCACGCACACCGGCCACAAGCCCTACGGCTGCTCCGAGTGCCCGGCCACCTTCTCGCAGCCCTCGGCCCTCAAGACCCACCTGAGGTAGGCCCGGGCTGCGCCTTCCCCGGGTGGGCGTGGAGGCGTTGGCTGCCGGTGTGGTCCCCTCTCCCGGGAGGGGTCACTGTTTGGTTGCTCCTTCTCGAAGTCGGGGGCTGCTTCTCTCGTCTGGGTTCTCCCTGGAGACCCAGGGAGATGTGGGGATGGCGCTCCCTGGGTCGGGCTTGGGCTTATGGGGACCCCAGCCTCCCATTCAGGCTCAGGGGCCCCTCCCCACCCGTTATAGCCCCACCCCACCCCCCACCCCTGCTGAGTCAGGCCAGAGACCCCAGCCCCCGTTCCTTTGGGACCCAGCCTGAGATCAGCCGGTGGCATGGTCCCCCTGGAGACCTCAGTGGAGGGACACTTCTCTGGGCTTGGAGAGTGCCTGCCACCTGTCAGTCTGATAAGTTCCAGGGTTAGGACAGATAGGGATTCTGTGTTTTGATTCTGAAGTACAAGAAGGTGACTTTCAGTTTTTAAATTCCTTTCTGGTGCTCAATACTTGAAATTCAGACAAAGAAGTTTTCTACTCTCCCCGAGATCTGCCCTCACCCTGGGCCAGTCTGGGGGTGGTGGGTGGGTGTTCATTGTCCTTTTCCTGCCCCAGCCCGGCTCAGGAAGGACTCAGGAAACGCGGTGATGGTCACTCCGTCCTCGCCCTGAGATGCAGGGCTGACGTGTGTGCCCCGGGGACCAGCTAGCTTCACGTGTTAACAGTTCTTTCTAGACTGTTACGTTGAACTGAAAAAGGACAGTAAAGGTTTTGATCACATGGTTCTTTGTCAGTCTAGGTGACTGTTCTCAATGAGGCGGTTTTATAAATACCATGTGGTGCTATTGAGCATCTTAACCTATGGAGGTGCGGCCTCTGCCTGCATGTGGGGCAGCACTAACCACACAGTGTATTTCGGGGGCTCTGTGTCCGGCGGGACTTGGCAGTCTTGCCTCAGGCAGAGACTGACTTGGGGGTGAGAGTCCTGGTTCTCGATACCTTTCAGTCCTTCACATGCGGGCTCGTGGAGCAAAGTGTTTCTGCAGGTGAGGGAGGAGCTGGTGATGCCGAGTGAGCTTTGGAACACAATCTGAATTACTATCTGTTATGCTTTCAGAATTCACACGGGGGAAAAACCTTTTGTCTGTGATGAATGTGGTGCAAGATTCACTCAGAACCATATGCTGATTTATCATAAAAGGTGTCACACAGGTAAATATGCTGTTGTGATTGAATGTTTTTCCTGGCTGTAGAAGGGAAACTGCAGTTTATTAGTTTAGATGTTGCTGTCTGCCTGGGGTTCAGGTTAAAGCCCAGATTTGCTTTCTCATCTAGTAAGTGAGCACAAGTAAATTAATAAAATATGCCCACTGCCCCAGTGCCTCCAGTACTGTCTGCCCATGGCCATGACCTTTGTCATGTGTCTTAGTGTCATGGTCCTGTGTCTTAGGCATCCAGAGGTACCCTGATGTTTCAGCCCCAAGTTCCCTTTCCAGGACTCTTTCTGAAGGAAACTGCTCAGAATGTGGGGAAAGCCATATACTATTATCTCCATTCTTACTGTTTCTAATAATACAGCATCAGGAACAAATTGACTGTCCAGCCCCAAGAAAGTGGTTCAATAATCGGGTAAATCCACCCTGTCCCACCCTTAGCCTTTCAGCCTAAGGTCTCTGAATATTATGAAAAATGCCAGTGCTTGGTTGTCAGCTTGAGAAATGGACAGTGAAGCATACAGTGAATCCCAGCTTTACTGAAAATCTGCAGACTTAGAGTTATATGATGTGTTGAAGTAGTGGAACTATGGGGTTCTTAGAAGTTTTGTGGTATGATTTCATCAGGTGAGGGAGAACGTTTAAGCTCTCCATTCTGATTCTGCGCAGTGCTCCTGGGGTCAGAGCCCCAGCGAGTCCAGCTGCTTGGTACTGTGCTTATCATACTAGCCCAGTTCCTTCCTGCCTGCATTTAAAACTGTTTACTTCTCTGCACTGTCCTGTGAGCCTCAAGTTCAGATGGTGAGATAGGTGAGCCACTATAATGATGTGAACTACTAGACTGAAAAAGCAGTAGGGTCTGATGAGAGTAGGGGAGGGGAGGTCAGGTCACACTGAGGCATTCAGTTAGAATCGGTCATTTGATGGACATGCTAATATGTTCAGATTTTATTGAAGCCAGTTTTGGCATTTGAGAAATCAGGGCAAACCTAACAGCATGGAGGGTGGACGCCCTCCTGGTCCTCACCTGGCCAGGTGGGCGGGCGCGGCTCCAGGATAGCCATGTGTGTTCACGGCAGACTCCGCTCCCTTCCGGAAGGGCTTCTGCTAGAGACCCACCGCAGCCCTGTGGAAAAGTCCAACTTTTCCAGCAGGCTGTTCTTGTTTGGGAATGACTGAATTTCCAAAATGTGAGCTGGCTGGACGTGCTCTTTCATTCTAATCTACTGGAATCTTTCTGGAGATTTCCAGGGGGCATTTCTACCAACTTTGAGCGGGTAGCAAGCACCGAACATGAGTAGATGTTTCCAGGTAGTTTTCATGAGAGAAGGTAACCCGCAGCCTGTTGGGGCACTTGGGAGGGTGGACCCAGTCCTCCCGCCTGTGTCACGTCTAACTCCGTGTCTCCTCTCTCTGTGTAGGTGAGAGGCCTTTCATGTGTGAAACGTGTGGCAAGAGTTTTGCTTCCAAGGAGTATTTAAAACATCACAATAGGATACATACTGGGTCCAAACCCTTTAAATGTGAAGTTTGTTTCAGGACTTTTGCTCAGCGGAATTCACTTTATCAGCATATCAAAGTCCACACAGGTATGGCTGGAGTGTTGCCAGAGATGGGAGGTCAGTATGCAAGAAAACATCTTGAAGGTTTTATTGAAAAATTATTTGTAATTTAACTTTACATTGTGTGACTTAATAGCATTTAAAAATTTCCTGAGTTTCTAGTTTCTCTGACAAACTGGAAAGGTCTGAACATGTGTATACAGATGTGGACATGTGAACGTTTTCAAACCTTCAGATTAGAATTAGGGGTGACGGTGTGCATGTCCTTTTGGGACACCACATGTGTGCATGGTCAGGTGTGACTAGAAAGTAGGTGAGCTGCCTGCAGCCATCGCGCTGGCTGTGGGTGAGGCCACGGCCCCAGGGGCCCCATGTGGCAGTGGGGGGGCGTGTGCTCCTGCGGCCCTGCTATGGCGGGGGCGGGGCGGGGCGTGCCGCCGTGTGGCCACAGAGCAATAGGCAGCCCCATGTCCTCCGTCCCTTCCTCTCAGGGGAGCGGCCCTACTGCTGCGACCAGTGCGGCAAGCAGTTCACACAGCTCAACGCTCTCCAGCGCCACCACCGGATTCACACGGGGGAGAAGCCGTTCATGTGCAACGCATGCGGGCGGGCGTTCACCGACAAGTCCACGCTTCGGCGGCACACCTCGGTGAGCCAGGCTGGCCCTGGGGGCACTGCTTCCAGCTGCGCGGCCTGGATGGCAGAGTGCCCGAACTTCTGCCTTGGGGCCCTCTGTCCGGGAGGGGGGCCTCTGCCGGCTGAGTCCGTTCTGACCAGGACCACGGTGAAGACAGGGGTCTGATGGGTGGAGAAGGCTGTTGGGCCCAATGACACATGGCTGTGAACCGGGGGTCTGCAGACCCTGGGCAGGGAAACGTGGGTGACCGCCGTTGTGTGCTTGCTTCACAGATCCATGACAAGACAACTCCGTGGAAGTCCTTCCTGGTCATCGTGGACGGCTCTCCCAAGAACGGCGATGGCCACAAGACTGAGCAGCCTGATGACGAGTATGCACCATCCAAACTCTCCGATAAATTGCTGTCTTTTGCAGAAAATGGCCATTTTCACAACCTGGCCACCGTCCAGGGCAGCATGCCTGCCATGCATGAGGACAGTCCCGCAGACCCGGCCTGCAAGTCTGACAGTCCTGTGGGGTCCCAGGACACACTGCTGGCCACTGCCATCAGTGAGCTTAGCGAGCTGACACCACAGACAGAGCCGGGCCCACATAGCTCTGCTCTCTGACCCACGTGGACTGGAGCGGGGTCACCTGCCTGGAGGGTTCCAGCCTGCACTTGCACGGGAGGGCTGGATGTGAGCTTTGTCAAGGGCCAAGAAGAACTGCAGGCAAAGAAGCGGGCAGGGATGGCTTCCAGTTTCCTGAACTGCTACTTGCATGTTGCTATCAAGTCATTTCTCAAGCTTTCCCTTAGAAATCCTGACCCGCATGACCTCAGTCACACTTCATCAGCAAACAAGGCAGTTAGCGTCGCCTCACTGACCTCTGGTGGCAGTGCCCTGATGCCCAGCAACCCTGACGCTCACAAGGCCACGCTTACTGCTCAGCTTCGTCATGGAGCAGAGCGCCAACCCTGCTCCCAGAGCTGTGCACCAGCTCGCTGCCTTAGGCTTTGTGTAGGTTTGTTTCTGATACTTTAAAGCTATTTTTCTACCAAGGTGAAAGAAAACTGGGACCACGTATTTATTTTCAGCTGTTTCTTTCCTGTCAAACTGAAGCCCATCAGAGATGCTCTGGGCTGAAGAGATGAATGACAGCACTTGGCCCCTGCCCCTGCTTGTAGGCACTAAACTGAATACTTGTTAAGTAGCTGCTCGTAGCACACATGCAACTAGGAAGTTGGTCATTAAAATGACATGAAGTGACTGTGGCCATCAGGTTTCCTTCTGAAAAACCCAATTAGGTAAAAGCTGTCCTACCAAAGACTAGCAGAAAACAGTGGAGTAGTTTTTGCAGAGGTATGAAAAAAGCCAGGGGCTGAGAACACTTGAAACATAGTATAGTTATTTTATCCATAAGTAGCAATGCAGTGGTTGTGGCAAATCTAAGAACACAAGAGTATTGGTAGTTTTGCTAGACCTTTTTTACTTTATTTCTGTGATTTTCAGAAACCCAGTGTTTTCCATTAACCCGTGAGGAGCCTGACACAGGCGTTCCCCTGGGAGCATGAGTAGATTGGGCAGCAGGGACCAAGCACCTTGGCACGCTCCTTCCTCTTTGATTAGCCTTAACAGTGGACCACGGAACGGCCAGTCTTGTCTTAAATGTGCCTGTCTCACGCTGGCCACTCTTGCTCAAGTGGCATTTGCATCACGCCCCGCCTGGTTCTTGACCCATTGGCAAGGGCAGTTCACCGTGCGCACAGTGCTTTGACTCACAGGTGACCCAGATCAAAAGCAAAGAATTCCTCTGTCACTAGTCGCTCTTTTTCTTATATCTTAATTTATTAAACTTGCTGTGAAAACACTCATTTTCTAAGAGAAAGGTACTTTATGTGTAAGTCCAAGATGGAGACACAAGTGCACAAAATGCCAGAGGAAGACCCAAGATGCTTTCTTCCCCATGAGATGCTGACAGTGCCCGGGGGGCTGACACAGGCCACACGCCTGCTCCTGGGGTACTGAGTCCCATGTCTGTCTCTTGCTATGACAGCATCACCCTCTTGTATTTACAGAAGTTATTTTCACACACGTTTTACTCTCAACAGAATGAACCTACCCACTGATGAACTGTTTCATGGGATAAAGTCATCTTAATAAGAAGGAATTTAAATAATAGATTATTTTGTTACCTACTGGAATTTTTGTCTTGAATTTGTTTTAGAGATTCTACAAAAGTTTTATGTGTTAATAAATGTTTGTTTTGTAAAAATAGTTTTGCGAGGCTGTTTATTTCCATGATTAGAATTCACCTTCTGTAGAAGTCAGATTCCTGATTGAAACAGGTAGTTGCATTTTCTGGTCCTTGGAGAGTCTCACCAACTCTGTCTGCTGCACTTGTGTTCTGAGATGTGACTGGCCTGGCCCAGTACACAGGCCCGGCCTCGTCATGGCCATGGTGAGTCTGCTCCACAGGGCCTCCTCTGTCTACGGTCACTTCTCTGTTTGCTTCTGGGGAGCAGAGGGGAGGGGAGGGCTGCTCCCTAAACCCTGCTGAAGGTGCATCTCAGGGATTTGGGGACATCTCCGTTTCTCCCATCTGGGTGCTGTGTTGCCAAGTCAGTGTCAGCCCCAGACCCACAGGACATGCTACCCAGTTTTGCACCTTCTGGCCTTCGTGTGGAAGACGAAGTCAGCCCAAACTCCAAAGCTCCCCTGCCTCTGCCTTTACCCAAAATTTGTTGTACAGACTGAAAAAAAAAAATTAGCCAGGTCTTACCAGCTTTCTTAAAGATGACCTTCACAGAAATGTGGTTTTGCCAAAGGTGGTCATCTAAACTGACCAATCTGAGTGTGAGTTAGAATTTAAACTCCAACCTGCATGTTGCATGCCTTGCCACAGCAGGGACATTTTTGGAGACCAAAAGAGTGCCTGTCCCCTTTACTTGATGGTGTTCCTGTCGCTTAAGGTGAAAGGCGATTTGTCCACAGGCACAGGACCAGCTAGCACATCATCCCAGCTGATGCCTGGGAACTGCCCACTTCCCTCCACCAGCAAGGGACTGTGGGACCCTCCCCGAGGCCGGCAAAACCCACCACGAGGGCTTCTATTAGTACACAAAGATTCTGAGAGGCATCTGAATGAGAAACTAACCTTGAGGATCAACCATGGGGCAGAGCTCCTAAACGGGACCACCTGTTAGACCATACATTGTGGGCTGAATGATATTTGAGGGACCTGAACAAGGCCCTGACAGCACCAAGTCAATGTGGCTCCGCCAAGATAGACCGACCACTGGCCTCTGCCACCAAGGGGCCGCTCCTCCCTGAACCTTGTTGTGAGCTCCCTGACCTGGCAGCAGCAAGGATGGGAATGCGGGGCCTGCAGAGCCTGGACGGCTGTGCCCACTGCCCGGAGACACCTTCCAGGACGAGAAGCCAGCCCTGACCTGTGCAAACCAGCCAGGAAAGACGAACCACGCTGCTCATAACTGGGACTTTATTTACTGCATAGGTTCACACAAAATACACTGACTCTGCGAAGGTGGATTTATCATCCAGGGTGAGTTTTCATAATACACCCTCCCTGACAGCCCTGGGGAAGAGAGTCCCAGGCCCCCGCGGAAGCCATGGGGGTTGACTCCGGGCATCTGAAATGCATGGTGTCAGAGGAAACAATAAACACACACACACTGTGGTTACAGGGGGCACTGTCACACGTGGTCACAACTGTGCAAAGACACTGCTTCCAAATCATTCAATAAAAAAGTTCACACAAGCTATAAAAATGTTGCCACAAAAAGCAAAGCTTTCCCATAAGAAATTTTAACACTTTTGACAATGAACTAAACATGACTCGCTAAAATACAAAGACTGTAACATAGTCATTATATTTTGTTCATAAATAACAATTTATAAATGCTGGAAATCACAGCGCTACCCACTCTAATGGAACGTTTCTAGGGACGAAGCCTGAAGCTGTTCCTGGGACTTTTTTCTTTTCATGTTCCAGTGGTCTGTTCTAGCCATTACAATTATTTTTTCATGTGAAATATTAAAAACAAAAGCATCTTAACTCAGTCACTGGTCCTAGTGTTCATTTAAACACAACTCTGATGTGAAGAAAGTCAAAGTGGCTCAGTCATGTCCGACTCTTTGCAACCCCATGGACAATATAGTCCATAGAATTATCCAGGCCAGAATACTGGAGTAGGTAGCTGTTCCTTTCTCCAGGGGATCTTCCCATCCCAGGGACTGAAAATGCTGCCAATAGTATTTCTCAAAACCCCAGGTCTTCAGACAGGGGTCTGTCAGGGGATCAGGATAAAAAGCTAATAAGCAAAACATTCGGTTTTTCCTTTACATGGTCAGACCACAAGTTTCCTTAACAAGTGGGAGCAGACTTTCCAGACCAGCAACAAAGTGCATGGCTGGCAGGAAGGGTTACTGTCCCCCTGCAGCCAGAGGACCCACGCTCCTCTCACCCACGTGCTTCTGACAGGCTGGGCACTGAATCAGGTAGAGCAACAAAACCGCACTTCTCTTAAGAGTTTTTTTTCCTAAGAGGTTCCGATAGGATGTGAAGAAGTACCAAGTGGGCGGCTCTGTTCCAAAATGGACCATAACCAACAGCCAGCTTTCTTTTAAGGATCCCAAACCTTTCAAGGAAAGAAGGAATCCTCACTGGACGCCAGGGGCCAGGGTCAGAGTACCCCATGTCTCCTGGTCCACTGCAACTGCCCTATGGGCTGGGACAGAGCCACCACTGCCCCACCTCTCCACCAGCCCAAGCCGCACAGATGACCCCGCAACTACAGCCACTGAATCCTCACGGCTGCCCACAGGGCTGCTCCACGATCAAGCCTCTGCTGATCCTTCTCAGCCTCCTTTCTGCCACTTTCTCCTCCCTCCTAGTCGGACTTGTTCCCCATCCCCAAACCTTCCTCCCAGCTCAGCCCTCAACCTGGACTCACTCTCTGTTTCTGCCCAACGGCACCTTCAAATCCCAGTTGCTGGCCATCCAAAAATGCAACACCTTTCAAATACCAGTTAACATCTGACAGGACATAGGAAATCCCATTTATCTGTCAACGCTGCCATTACCTAGCAATAAACGCATATCGAACAAATCACTTAGAAGAGATTCAGGAAACAAGAGCACATCTAAGCACAAGGTTATTAGTACGTAACATAAAGGGCAGAAATTAAGTTCACAGGTCAATAGGGCACATGTATAAATCAAAACAATAGGACAGAATTCAAACACACCAGATAAAACAATCCATTGGCTAAGGGCAGGTCCCCTCAGAAGCTCACTGGGGCTCTTTCCCGACGGTGCAGTAAATGGTACTGTACTCAGCCCACCAAGCCCATCGTGTCCATTAACAGATAAAATGAATGACAGACAATTAAAAATGAAAATGAATGACATATAAGCTTCGACTGAGATAACCTCCCGGCTCTGCTGAGGATGTACACGAGGGGGCACACGGGGTGCCCTCTCAACGTGGGAAAGTGTGTGAACATGAAAGGAAAGGGATATGCCAGTTCAAACACCCTTCTGTGAAGGTGAAGCAAGGGTCCTGTCCCAACTAGAAGTAGACACTCCCTCCAGGAAAGGAAGACGCCTGTCTCTCCAAGATCTCACGCACGGTGCACTTGTGAGCTCAAGTTCACCTCCACACGGCCACACACGTCAGCGGGCCATTGTCAGGAAGCTCCCTCACCCCCACCGCAAGCAGCCAGCAGGCCTGGCTGACCTGAATTCTCACATGCACGTCAGCTACAGAACAATACACAAGAGCAGGGAAATGGGTCACTGGCGCTGTCAAAAGAATCACGAGATAACAAAAAGGATAAATAATTCTAATGAGGAAAGTCATAAATGCATTCCGAACAACCATCCTACACTAAACACACACGTTTAGAGAATCCACCAAGGTGCAAGTTCACAGAGAACATGCAAAGCATCTATTAGAACAACTGGGTTGGGTACGCAAATCCAAGAAAAGGGACATAAAAACATGTGGCAAAATGAAACACGAGCTCTGCACATACTGAAATAACGAGGAGGAAGATTCTGAAGGAGTTCTTGGAAAACTCTGGGGACTCTGACAAGCGGGAGACAGCCCGTCACACACTCACAGTATGCACAGGAGCGGCCCACCCACCCACAGCACGGTGACACACATGGCAGCTTAAACACACACACACATTGTCAGGCTCATGTGCAACGAAATGAAGCCGTTGAATGGGCGTCCCACAATGATCACTGGCCCTAACACGAAATGAACGAGGACTCGGTGGCATGCCACAGGGACACTGCGCCTCACTTGAGGTCTCCATCCCCCTCCCCGTCCCCCTGGATGGATTTCTTGATGCGCAGCAGCATGGTGGTCAGCCACTGGTCCAGGCGGGAGATGGAATCAAACTCCTTCACCTGGTGAAGGGAAGAGAAGCAGAAAGTGGTCCATGGAAACATAGTCAAACACAGAATTACACCACACTAACTCTATAAAATCATTCATTCTGGGTTACAACTTTCTTCATTAAGAGCTTTTTACATTGCCCTTATGCTAACATGCTATGGCAAAAATCCACAGCAGCCTTTGTAACTGGACAAAGAGCACGTTTAACGTGACAAAGGACATGAGCCTTTGTATAAGGACAAGGGGACAAGGAAAATTAATGTGGCCCCAGTCTCCCATGAACACAAAACACAGCTGCAGAGAGAGACCAAAAGGAAAAATCCCTTCAACTCATTTCCATGAGTCATTAAAGAATGGACTTTCACAGGGTGAAAACGGTTTTGTAGCAAAAGTTAAAGGGGGAAACTCGCTTCCCACCATGGCTTCAAAGCCAGGTTGAATGAATTACTTAAGGGCACTAAGAAATTCACTTTGATTCTAAACATAAGATGGAAAAAGATGGGAAAACAGGAAATTGGTGAATGTAAAAATTTTTTTCCCATTTTATGCCAAGAATATAACAAACTCTCACTGCTTTATTTTTACGTTTTAAATTTAACTGATTTAACTGATAGTACTTCTCATTTATTTATGGATCAGATTATTTTCCATAGAAAATATCCAAATACATTTGTAACTGTATGTGATATATATTTGCCTTGCAGCTAAAGTCAGCTGAGCTCGTAGACTGTCTTAATTTTGAAGGCTGGTGGAATCTAAAAACATTTCTTTTGGAAAACAACACAGGTATAGCACAATAATGTCCAAATAGATGTTTAGCATTTACATGATGAAAAAGAGAAGTTG